ATTCTCGACGACAATTGAAATGGCGACGGAGAGCTTTAGTGAACTGTACTTCATTTCAATTCATTAAATTCACTAATTTCGTGGTCCGCTTAACCAATTAATATATTACAATTAATTAAGGTTTTTTGTTGAGATGAAAAAACGTTAATGGCACGAGAGGGATTCGAACCCACGACCTTTGGCTAAATACGCCGCTGCTCTACCACTTGAGCTGTCGTGACATCGATCCACTCGGACACCAACCTTCCAATTTCAACCCACCTTTTGAATTGTCACTCCTGTTTGCCATTTTTCAAATGTCGTGTAATCAGGATTCAATTCTCGGCGACAAATGGAATGGCCACGGAGATCGAAGCCACGATAGCTCAAGTGGTAAGCAGCGGCGTATTAAATCTTAAAATTAAATCTTTCAAATAATTATTCTTTGGATGTAAGGGCCTGGTTGAAATGAAAAAGCTAGCCGAAGTTCGTGGGTTCGAATCCCGCTCATGACACTGACTTTTTTATCTCAAGCAATACCTTCCATAAAAATTAATGAACTGAAAAAAGTTATTGGGTCAATCGGACCACGAACTCTAATGGAATTAATTATAAGGTTTCATAATAATGATGTTGGGCAATATTTTAAGACAATTATAACCTTACTGCATTGTTTCTAATGTTATTATTATAGGTTTATTATTTATCATAAAACAGCTTAATTTTATTACCTAAGGAAACAATGATGCTTGTCTTATTATAAAACTGCCTATTTACTATATAATTTTTTTTAAATACACGTGTAAAATAATCGAAATTCTTCTTGTTGGAGAATTATTTTTCGATAACAAAATATTTACTACAAAGAAATCTACGGAACCGTCAAATATTTCATGAAGAAACTTTTTTTCAAAAAAATTGAAATTCACTGAAAGAAATCAAGATCCGTCATAAGATTATCTAATACCATGTAACATTAACAAAGTAGACAAAAACGTTGTTCTATTGCAGCTCTTTAATTTGTTAAATATTTTAAAACAAACGCTTTTCCATCCTCTTTGTATAAGAATCCTCGGAGAATAAACAAAAAATAAGTCAAATATCATGTAAAACATTATTAATTTACCTGATGAAATTGTAAATAATTTGATAGAAATATGCCATACCATCAGTCACAAATTTGTCACAATTTTAATGTCTGATGAAATTTGAATGCTATTATCTGTCAATAATTATCATACCCAATTATCTTACTTATTACTTTATACTTACTTATTCTTCTTTTGTTATTATGATATTATTAAATTATGGTGGTTTATATTTTTATTTTACTTATTTTTTATAATATGCTAAGGTTCGATTCTTTGCTGCTGTATCTTGAAATTTTATTGTACGTTTTTTAAAATTATAATTTAGGAAAATTGGATGAATAAGTAACTTGTGTATATGTACTTAAATGTATATTCGCCATGTACAAGCTTATTAATCCCTTTTGGTTATTTATATTTTTCAAAAAATGTTCGACTGAAAAAATACATGGGAGTTGTAAAATATTGTTATGATATACGATTGTATTTTAAATATATGAATAAATGCACATTCAAATTTTTAATGTTAAGAATATTATATAACCATTTAAAATATTACGTGTATTCAGCTAGTTTCGACTACATCATTCTCGATTTAGTGATATGCAAATACCCGCAATGTGGCATAAATTTATGACTTGTGTCAAACTACGGAATGCCGGTTTGATCGTTAAAAGGGAATTGAATCCAACTTGGGAAATGCGGCCACGGACGGTAGCAACAAAGTAAAACCGTGGACGCTTGTTTATTAAAATCCTCTAGGACTGTTAAATAAGCGGAAGTACGCATAGCGCAAATTATTCCTATATAATGTATATTTATTATATATTATATTTATATTTGAAACTTGTATGGGAAATCGTTCAAATTATATTATTAATGCAAGGTTGGAGTTTCTATATCGACCACTTTAATTCCCTTTAAATTATTCGCATTACCCGGAGGTTTTTATTTCGCAATTAATAATGGAAAGTAAATAAATTTTATATTTTTGTATATTAACATATTTATTATGATTCCGCAAGAGGACCAATTTCACCAATATTATTTAATATATTTATAAATGACATTGTCATGTTTTAAAAATTGTAAATTTAAACCATTTGGAGATGACAGTAAATTGTACAGACCCATGGATTGTGCAAACGACTGTGATATTATCCAAACAGAATTAAATAATTAATAAACAAAATTAGTGACATACTGACCGCTGGGCTCGAAGAAATAGAATTAACCCTGCCAAACTGTGGCAGGTTAAGAAAGAAGTCGGTCCCTGGTCCACGGAGAACGGTTCGAAAAGGGAAAAAGCCATACTGACAAGACTACGCATAGGTCATACGAGAATAACGCACGGGCACCTTCTGGCCGGAAAGCGACCGCGTAGGTGCCCGTTATGTAAGGATAGAATAATGGTCGAGCACCTCTTCAAGTGCAGAAGGCTTGATATATATAGGCAATATTTTGGCATATCATCGGACCTGTGCGTAGTCTTGAAGCACGGCAGCGGGCACAGATCGCTGTTCCGGTACCTCAGGGCTATAGGGATTTTTAAATGTATATAGTTGTATGTGTTTGCGTTGAGTCTGTGTTTGACTTTATGTTAATTTATTGGAATGAATGTAATTTATTAGCATGAAAGGAAGGGGTGATTAAACCCCGCCCCGAGGAATATCGATACTCTGGGGTGAGTGTGTGACGTCTGGAGAGTAAAAGTAAGTTATTAGCGAGAGTGGAGAGGGTTCAACCCCGCCCCGAGGAATATCGAGTACCCTGGGGGAATGAATGTGACCAGACATCTATGTTTGTGGTGATGTATATATATGTATTGTATGTTTTGTTTTCATTCTGTATTTGACAACCTGAGGTACAAATGAGAGACTAGCATTTTAGAATATCAACGTAGCATTTATCTGAAATCAAGAGTCAGTAACCAGATCGAGATGCTCAAATGCCTGCAGTTTAAAACAAAGTATGCGCGAAAGAAAAGAAAAAGATGGAAAACACGCAGAGGGCCGGCGATGACCTCAGCTGTTTGTTGGCCCATAAACTTCCTACTTATATATATAGTGACATAGTGCTCAGTAAACACCCTAGAACTTAATATTAAAAAATGTAATTTAATACGCTTCCATCGTATTCGATGCTCTCTAATCTGTGATATTAATCTTGCTTGACTAGACACCATGAAGGACCTAGGGGTAATTTTTGATTCTACATTAACGTTCCTTGAAGATATAGAATATAGAAAAAACAAAAGACTAAAAATGCTAGGTCTCGTTTAGCGTAATGTAACTAATATAAATAACATTAATGTCATTAAAAACCTATATTTTGCTCGGGTCAGGTCCCACTTAAAATATAACTCACCTGTTTGGTACCCTACTAAAGTAATAATGTATATACATTAGAAAAGGAGCAAAACAAATTTTTAAGATTCTGTGGACTAAAACTTCAAATACGTCTTGAACCAGATGGACAAACCTTTCAAGTGAGGTCCGAATTAAGTATAAATTCACTAGAATCTAGAAGATAAATGACTGATGCTCTAATATTGTTCAAAATAATTAACAATATAATTAAATGCCCCTCTCTACTAGAAGAGATAAAAATTTCATGTACCTGCCGATAGAAATAGACAGAGTTGTTTTATATAGGACACCATAAAAACAATTATATGAAAAATGCTCCCCTGGAAAGGGCTTAAAAAATACTAAATTATGCAAACGACCAACTGGATATATTTTACCAGTCACAAAACAGTTATAAAAAAATTATTGCCAATTCTAAACCACTGAAGGAAATCATGTGTATACAGGTCTGATTATACTATTTATAATGTATTTGTTATATTTGTAAATGCCTCTATTATGAGCTTTGTAATGTATACATAATGTGTAAATAAAAATATTTTCCCTAAATAAAGATATAGAATACTGTGCGAATCATGGCTCCACAATATTTAGGATATCCCCAACTATTGCATAGTTGTCTGTTTTTCGTGAATTACACTTCACACTGATGTTTAAAAAAAATAAATAAATAAATAAAAACTACTCTCATGTACAGATGTAAACCATATTGAATTTGATAACAACGAGAGAAGGATTAATTTGACAAAAAAAGGTATACTGTTAATATATGTTGTAATTACAATATTTAAAAAAATATATATAAAGAACAAATACAGCAAATTCACATGAAAAAGTTTACTTCTATGATTGCATGCAATAAAAAAGTAATTTCTGTGTTAATAAATTTAATAGTGTCCAATCAAAAAGAGATATTAATATGATTAATGTATGCGTATAAAAAAGCAAACAATCAAATCGTGTTATGTACCGATAAGATTATGGACGCTGCTGTAGGATGCTGTTAGGAAAATATGGCAGTGGAAGCATAAAAGAAATGCTGAAAAGATGGAACTGGAAGCTGGAAAGAGGAGATGTTCCACGAAGTTGGCAGATTCTATCCTAGTGACTCTTAGTGAAAAAAAGATAATAAATAAATAAAAAGATTAGTAAAGTGAGCAGACTAGTCATGCAATGCGGCCCTCAGTCTTGTCTTAAAAAAGTATGAGAATGCGTGATCTACACTCGTCGCCTCGTCGCGCTCATTGGAACTTTTTACCCCACTCAACGCAACGTTATACCAAAACACTGTACGCAACTGAGCGTATGGCCGATCGCACCGTGCATATACACAATTTAAAACTTACTTAATATTATTATTTATCACGATATCAGGCTATAAATCTACGACTGCTTTCATAAAATTAATAAATAAAAAATAACTTTTTAAAAATAAAAAGACAATTAAGTACTGTCCTATTAACACTAACAATACTACAAGGACGTCTCAATAAACCTCTTAGGGTTCTGCCTGCGGATTGTAGGTCGCTTCTTGTCAAAATAACGCGCTGAATTTTTTTTTAAGGTCGCCTGGATACACATAGACCGACAGATGATCCTGACCATACACAGGCACGTCATCGCCAGAGTGTCTAGATTCAGCGTGTCCCACGACAACCACAAAACCTGGATGCTCAATGTCAACCAGGCTCAGCAGGAAGACAGAGGCTACTACATGTGCCAAGTAAACACGAACCCGATGATCAGTCAGGTTGGATACCTTCAGGTTGTCGGTGAGTAGATTATAAATGTTATTTTCTAAATTCGTAATAATGTGTTACTCGGATTCGGTTTATACAAAAATTTAAGCATGTTCTTATCTTTTTTATTATATATCAATAATTATTCATAATAAATGTTTATTTGTAAATAAAACATTTTTGAATTGACTTATTTTCAATTAATTTGGTTGATGATGATTATTTCGTTTTTACTCGGCATTCATTGCCCCAAACAGAGTCAGCAAATTCCGCTAAAGCATCTAGGTAGCAAACGAAAATTCTAATTTCGAAACGTATTGTAACAAAGAGTACTTTTATTGTAACAAAGTACTACATAATACATTTTAAAAAGACTAATTAAAATATTACAAGGGGGTCGATAGGTCACGGATTTGGATATTTTTTTAATTGAATTATTTTCAATTAATCTGTTTGATGTGATTATTCCGTTCTATAACGGTTCATTGGCCCAAGCAGAATCAGCATCACTTCTAAACTTATTGAGTTAAACATTACATATTAGAACTACAGAAAACATTTTAATTTTAATGATTCATAAAAATCTTACAAGGGTGGATGGGTCACGGATTTGAACCAAACTTTGTTTGGAGATTCTACTCTCCAAAATAACTAACACGTATTCGTAACTTCTTGTGAATAGGCCTTGGTTCGTCATTTTTTTTTACGAAAGTTCGCAAAGGCAGAGGTTATACCAACCTCGGGGAGCCGGTGTTTTTGAAAAAAAGCACATTTATGTGCCAATGTATATCGGGCTGGATGCAGGGCCGCTAGATTCGAACCAGGGATCTTTACCTTACAGTGATGAGCGCTGTGTCAACGCCTAAACCGTTGCGGCCACCGGCATCCCTTTTTTAAAGTTGTAATTGTCCGATTTTAATATTTTTATCTCGCTTTTCTACTTGCTCAAATAAGCTATGAATATATCATTTTACAGAACGTTCTATGTAGTTTGCAATAAAAATGCAGTACATGCTATCAAAGTTGATCAATAATCAAAAAATTTCTAAAACCCAAACATTTTTCTAGTAAACTAGGTCATATTTTTTCGTGAAATTGATGCAAAATTTTGTTTTAGCTCTTCTATTTAAAATTAAATTTTGTCGATATTTTTACGCATATAATTATTCAATTTTTGAGAAGTCGTTGTCAATTTCACCATCAAACTTTTTTTACCCAATCTTCTCCTAGTAATTAAAGTGGTCGATCAAAATTCGCCGATACCTTAGAGCTGAGTGAGCGAAAGATACGGCACTTTTCCATTGTTTCGTGCCATTGAACGTATCGATCATATGCCTTGACGAGAAACTTCTTAAAAAAAGGCGTAGGGAAACTCCACTAGCATTGGGTAGCAGCAGAAAAACTGCTCCGGGTCTTCTCTTTTCCTCAGATAGAGAATTCTTCTGCAGTAGACGTAAGGTTGTCCTTTGAGGAATAACAATTCCTTTCTTTTAGTTTGAATATGGGAGGATTGGACGAACAGACTTTTCCCAAACTAGCTTTTCCCAGTTGACGTATTGAATCTCCACCTCAGAACCCTGTAGACTGTGAACCGGTTTGACGTATTTGCCCTGGTAATTGTTTTATCTGGCATAACAGTCGAATCCTCGTGCAAGACTGGGAGATCACAATCGAGAACGCGTTCAGATAATATACAATTCCAAACTAATCCGCGATTTGTCTCGATGCCTTGGCTAAAAAAATTTTTATTTTCGTTCTGTTTTTGACATGCGATTCTCACCTAGCCCAACACTTTGATCAGATAAATAGTCATGATGAAGTTGTGTCGTGAGCAAAATGACATAAACCGTCTTTTTCTTTAGAAGAAGTATGTACGACGGGCACCACGACGGCAGTTTTTAAGATGTGTAACACACACTCGACAAATTTATATTCTTGGCAATCCCATACAAGTGCTGGGTAACATAAAAGCCTTTCCCTTGGCAGAGAATGAAGTCGCCGAATTACTGGATAAGCAGTAATAGGAGCAAAGGGCTTAAAGGACATCCTTGACTAACCACACTTGTGACTGGAAAAATGTTTTTCGTTTCATCTTTCACCCATACTACAGATACAGTACTGGCATACAAAGCGCGAAAGGATTTACCCATTTCTTTGAAATTTCCGAAGTGAGTAATTTTAGCATTAGAAAAGCTATGTTGACCGAGTCGAACGCAGATTTCAGACCGATAAAAAACGTGCGCTAAACAAATATTAAATTTTGACTAAAAGGAAACTCGATTAAAAGATTTAAAAAAATGTTTTATTTCCTACGTCAAGAATTTTTCCGGTTTTTGTGTACCTAACGGTGTTTGCAAAACAATTTTCCAAGCACGGTAAACATTTTATAAAAATGATTAAATTTAGCTTTTATTGCTTCCGAAAGAGTATAAGGAGTGTTAACAGATCAACAGGACATTTTCATAATTTATTTTATTTTTTATCTTTAAAATAATTTTTCTTCGAATTCGTTTTAAATTTCTTAGTGATAACGAAATAAATTTTAGTATAAAATTAACAACAAGCTAAATATAAATTATGTAAATGGTAGTAGAAAATGTAAATATAAATTTAGTCATTTACATATATAAAAATGTACCTACTTCCAAACAGATTATAAACTATATTTAAAAAACGCTTCAGATATACAATATGTATGATATTAATGTCCAACTACAGTTTTTTTAGTATATATCCGATAAATTTCTTTTGGCTTTAATGCATTATTTGCATGTTTTTTTTGTTTTTTTTTGCAGTTCCTTACTAAAAATAATTGGCTCTGGTAAACTCCTTCTTTGTCGTTCTGAAAAACTCGTTTTACACGACCCACCTCAAGAAAAGCCCCAGAAAAAGTTGAAAAAGGTAAAACAGCAATGCCAGAAAAAGACTGACAATGAGTTTGAAAAAATTCTAATGAGGTTTTACCGTGAAATCGATATTTGCTTATTTTCACATTTTACACATCGACGTATTTTGTTGGGGAGAAAGTACAACTTTTTCATTTTTTGCAGAAATTCATGTTTTCATCCATAATGGTACACTTCGAAATTTTATTAACCCATTTTAATATTGTATTTTTGGATTTAATACCTTTTAGGTTAGTCGTGTCTATTTGATGTTGGGTTTAACAACACGCACATAAAATTCGATTAAAGTTGATTGAACAGTACTTTAAAAAAGTGTACCAATGTGGTAAGATTTATCCCAATATGGATAAGATAGGTCTCGTCTTCATAAAAATGCTGAAGTGCTTTTATGTGTATATGATTTAATTTGGTGTTTGGCAATGTCTCAAATTTTTCTGAACCGATTTTCAAACGAAAGGTTGCCAGTTTTTTGAAAATTGAATGGGCAATATCAATCTGCAAATGAAAGTTAATAGAATTGGAAGGCAAAAGTTCTAATAACTTTTGACATTTATAATAATTTGAAAAAAAAGTGTAAATATTACAACATATAGAATGTAGTACATATCCTAGAAAAAATAATGTTTTAAGAATTATTTTTTTCGACATTGAGTAGTTTTTGAGAACATCAGAGATGAAACTAGGATGTAACTCCTGTGTGTTAAAAGTACAAATAATGACCGGACTTATTGATTCTGATTATATCAGATTGTTTTGGAGAGTTATTTTAATGGGCGACGATGAGATTGACTGATTGTCCACTGATGCTAATTTATTTCTTTACCCCTTTGCAAAACATCTCATTCCGCTGTAGCAGTGCTGTAAACGATTCAAACATTCCGTAATTAAACTGTAATTAGGAAAAAAGGGGGATAAAAATTAAATTAAGGAAGAGAGCTATCCCGTATTCTAATTTTTCTCTGGCCCTGGAGTTTCTTTTTATTTAATGAAAAATGGGGAGCTGCGTCTTTTATTGACCCATCGCGTTCAGGACGTTATCTAATTGTTCTCCCCTGATTTGACTTCTACAAATGTTCGTATTGCATTATGCATGTTGACTCAAGCACGGATCAATGGAGCGACGAAATCAAGTCAATCCGGTCTGGTACCTCGTTGTTTTTTAAATCCTTCGGGTTTTGCAATTCTTTTAAAGTTTGTTACATTGTCAGAATTGATTTAATAAAGGATTGTCCTTTTTTTATTGGTTTATCGAATATAATTTGTATCGCTAGTATAAATTGTCATTCAATTTTTGCATGAGCGAATTGTTCACGGTCTCTTTTTCCTTTTCCATACAGAAATGTAGGCTTGTAAAAGGAATAACTTAAGGACGTGTTATTCGGCACAGATACACAATGATCGATCTTCAAACGTAGATTTATTTTATATTCTAACACATCTCTCCTGTGTTATTATTCTCTATGAAGAATGATGTTTTTCCTCAGAATGGGATTGTTGGATTAAAGGATAAATTGTAATTGTGTTTGTATTAGGCGGAAACATTTCGCGTGACTCGCGTTTCCAAGGTGAAATAAACTGTGTAATTCATACCATGTCTTAAAAGAGTGACAGACGCTATTAAGCTGTCATTTAAAAACCGCTTTTTTGTCGCTTTAATTTTCTTTCTAAATACACTCATTTTATTTATTTATTCGGTAAATAGGGTGGGGGTAAATTCGTGCAATACCGGACTATTTCGTTTATAAAAATGTAATTATAACAGCCGGCGTGTTTTCGCGACGAAAGCAGTTGTAATTGTCGACTTAATTATACAGAAATGCATTTTATTTATTATTTCCTATTACATCTACAATCAATGAATGATTTTTTCACTACCTTTAATTTTTCATTTCACAGAAGGTGTACTTCTAAATAAAGAGAGCGTTATATCAAAGTATATAATATATTATTAAAATTTAATTGGATTAGGTCATTAAAGAACTAAGAGTAATAGTAATGATTATATCAAAAGATTACTATTTTCTATCTAAATAATTTTCTATCTCTAATAACTAGTTTACATTGGATTCTATTCGCATTCAGATAAAACTTAACAAAAAGAAAAAATGAAATTTATAATGGGTGTTCTTCCTTGTTCCTTGTACCAAAAGTTTTTGTAATAGTTAATAATTCCAGTTTTACTGGATAATTATATAAAAAATTATATGTAATTTTTTCGGATACTCGTGTTACAAACTTAACCCGCTGATTGTACATTCAAATGGCACCATAAAGTCCTAATTAACTACGCCCCGAATATCAGCAGTTTCAGAGTTATTCCACTTTTTCTGATTTTTTAAAATTTCGCGACCTTGCTTCATATAAACAATGAATACCTCCAAAACTAAAAGTTTTTCCGTTGATACCATTCAACATTACGTTAAATATCCAATACTTGTAAACGTTCGTGAAATAAGTGTTTTAGTAGCCAGAACTTTAAAAAAAAATTTATGGTGTTTCTAAACTACTATTTCCAATACTAGAGACCTGCAAATTTCAGAAAAGTGAAACTCTACTCCATATAATATCCTTTTTAATGGTGTAATTTCGTTTTTAAATACTTTTTTAAAAGTTTAAGAAATGGATGGAAAAAACCATGGCTGACGTTTTTTTTATTTTATCCAGTACTTCGATGTTGGGCATGTGCTTCCGGCTGGATACCACGGCACGTCTTCGGTGGTGTGTTCTGCCAGCTCCTAATCCGGGCCCTGTGGTGGTTCCTCTACGCTAATTCGATAACATGAGCGAACTACAGGAAATTAAGAACTTAACAAAATAGGAGACAATGCATGACAGCCAATGACAAATATGCACGGAAGAAAAAGAAAAAACGCATAAAGAAGGAGGAATTTTCCTTTTAAAAGCAGACGGACGGCGATGACCATTTGATATTTGATAGCTCATAAATAATTATTACTTACATTAATATTACTACGTATAATCAAAAAGTGGTGATTATTAAACGTCATCATAATTTTATATCCTTGTAATTCTTAATAATTCTTAAAAACTTCTATCAAAAAAGAAGCAGAATAAGGGCAAATGGGGGGAATATTATTGATTTCTACATTAATGATCTATATAAAAACAAAACATAATAATTAAGCGGCCATGAGCCGCGGTCGTTTGGAGCTTCCTTTGCTCATGGCCTTTTCCCCAAAATGCTTTTTTGAACTTTGTATATCTAGGTTTCATATCAACCGCGTTCACTTTTATTTTATTTTCATTACACAAATATTTTTCTAGTATTTGAGCTAAATTTCATTAAACGTGGAGAGTTTATTTAAACTCCAATCTAACAATACGAATACGGGAAGGGACAAATCATTTACTGAGGTATCATTGAAACAAAAATATACTCCATAAAATATTATTATCTTCACAATTGTTATTGATTTAAAATAAATTTATTTAATTTCAAAATTCAGTATTATACATATAACTTTTCTTGTTGATTCCCATATCTTTAATATTAGTATTACTATGTGCTTCTGTTGAAGGACTGTCTTCGGAAATCCTGTCTTTTCTTGGGTCAGTTTAGTAATGACAAAATCATCTGGATCGATCGAAAGTTCAATAAACTTAGATTACACGATTAGTATTGTGGCGATGGCGAGTTGCAAGCTCATCTAGATAAATCAATTAAAAAAGTGAAGCCATGCTAACGGTCATCATCCCATGGGATCAGTTCTGCGCAAAGAATATTGTAATTTAATATAACAATAATTTACGACATGCACTTTTTCTTTTAAATGGTCACTTCTTCATTGAGATCAGATAAGTTTATCCTTGATGGAAAGAATTGTTTACTGTCAGTTACGTAAATTATAACTTGATTATGGAAATTGTTAGATTTCCATTAGAGAGGTTTAATTGAGTTTCGGTTGTCAAATTGATTTCGGTCGACTTCTTGTTGAATTGACATTTACCCCACTCTTTTTGGAAACAATACGAAATGTTCCAAATTACGAAATCACCATCGATTTACCCTCCGGCCAGATCCACGTTTGTGATCCATCCGCTCTTTGAATTACAATGGAAAATAAATAGAAGGTCAGTAGAAATACGAATCGGAAAATTATTCATGAAAACCCAAATCACCACATATTGTTTCTCTGATTGAAACCAGTCCGCAACTCCGGCCTTTGTCCGTTAAAAGTTCGTTAAAATCACAATTATGTCAGACAAGAACTTTACGACCAGCTTTGAGTATTTGGGGAAGTAAACTGTGTACATCAATGTATATTGTTGTTTTATCCTAATCACCAATAATTTGTCTTGTTTATTCTTTTTCCATTTATGGATAATTTGTGTTAATTTATTTATTTTTGTATTTTTGAAAATTTAAATTGTAGCAACGGGAAAAAGTTCGCTCTTTTTTTACATTTACGTACGTTTTACTTGATTCTGTGGGATAACAAGATAGCTGAAAACGCATGAATATAATTATGGTTAATTTTCATTGTGCTGTGTAAAGTAAAACCTCTCATTTTAGACCTAAAAAAAAGCAGGGGTGGTTAGTTCACGCTTTGGCGTAATAAAAACCTAGATTTTACTGCGCTTATCTAGCGCTTCATTCACACAGAATAACGTTATCTTTTCATTATTAATAACATTGTTTATTAGAAATTATGCTCTAACTAATGAACATTGGTGTAAGATATGAATTTGGTTAAAATACACTTTTACGCATTAAAATATTAAATCTATCAACTTTTCATTTCTAACGGATGAACAATTTTCTGTGACATTACAACCTAGTAAAATATGCACTTATTTCTTTTCCAAAATATGTACAAAATCTTACAACAGAATGAACTAACATAATTATTTTCAATTAGTTAATCTTTATGAAAGGTACTGGCTGAGATGGAAAAGTTAGTGTCATGTGCGGGATTCGAACCCACGACCTTCGGCTCAATACGCCGCTGCTCTACCACTTGAGCTATCGTGACATCGATCCACTCGGATACCAACCTTCCAATTTCAACCCACCTTTTGAATTGTCCCTCCTTTTTGCCATTTTTCAAATGTCGTGTAATCAGAATTCAATTTCGATCCATTCGGACACCATCTCCCCATCTCACCATTCGAATTTTCCTTCTTTTTTTGTCATTTTACATTTCAGCCAATACCTTAAACAAAGATTATTTGAAAGGAGTTATTTGGTCAATCGGACTACGAAATATAATGGATTTAACACAATTATCTTTGATTGTCTTAATTTAATTGTCTTACAATTATTTTTATTGTTATGTATTATTTTTCAAATTGTACCTGTACTTAGCAATAAGGGTTATCTCTTGTTTAATTTATAGTGCCGCCAAATATTTTGGACAACGAGAGCACGCCATCGTCCGTCGCAGTTAGGGAGAACCAAAATGTCTCACTAGTTTGCAAAGCAGATGGGCTGCCCCTACCAAAACTCTCATGGAGGCGAGAGGACGGACAGCCAATAACTCTCGACAGGAAAACGAGAGGTTGTTGTAGTATATAAATTATAAAGTAGTTGTAATATGAAATTTTTCCCTGAAACTTTAAATTTTAAAATATATAAATTAATCAATGTTTTACTTGCAAAATACACTTAACGAATAATTAATTATTTTCTAGACTTTTTTTTTTGTCTTATGATCTTTGCATATTAGCCATTACGAATTCTTATATATGTTGTTCAAATTGGGGGTTATCGGGAAAAAAGGGCCAGAGGCGACGGTGGGAATCGAACCCACGACCGCGGCGTGAGAGTCTCTCATGCTAACCACTCGGCTACCGCGGTAATCGTATGTGGGATATTTAAATTTTTAATGTTTAGAATTATCAATCAAATCATATCAATGAATTCCTTCACTCTCCTCTCCCTCTCGCTCTACCTCCTAAGCCCATCCACCCCGCAGATGTAATGTACCAGATTCTCCGCCTTTCCGAAAGAAAATCCCCTGGCCATGATCTAATTACCCCTAAAATCCTCCGCAATCTACCCAAAAAAGCAATAGTGTACATTACCTCTATTTATTTCGCACAACCTATTTCCCTATCCAGTGGAAACTATCTTTAATAACTCCAATACCAAAACCACACAAATCCCCCAGTGCCCCATCCTCTTATAGACCAATAAGCCTCCTTCCTATTTTATCCAAAATTTTTGAACGTATCCTCCTTAAAAGATTTATTCCTATATTTGACTCTGAAAACGTAATTCCGAACCATCAATTTGGGTTTCGACCTCTCCATTCTACTGTTCAGCAGTGCTTCAGAGTAGTCGACACGATATCTTCGGCTCTAGAAAACAAACAATACTGCTCAGCCGTATTTCTGGACGTCACGGAAGCGTTTGACCGAGTATGGCACCCCGGGCTCCTCTATAAGTTAAAATGTATCCTCCCTCAGGCCTACTACCTTATCGTGAAATCCTTCCTCTCAGATCGATGGTTTAAAGTAAGAATCGGCACCGAGTTTTCACCTATCACACCAATCAAAGCTGGCGTTCCACAAGGAAGTATCCTAGGCCCAATCCTCTACACCATCTACACTGCTGACATACCCACACATCCGAACACACAAATCACAGCCTACGCGGACGACACCGCAATCTTATCAACACACTCCAATCCTATCCTAGCAACAGAAGCACTCCAACAACACCTGAACCTTATTACCAACTGGTGCAATCTGTGGCGGATCAGGTTAAACGAACAAAAAAGCCAACACGTTACATTTACGCTCAAACGACAAACCTGTCCACCAGTGCACATTTACAACAAAATAATACCACCATCGAACCAAGTCCGCTACCTTGGGCTTTACTTAGATAGTAGACTTACTTGGAACCCACATACACGATTAAAACGGCAAGAACTTAACAAAAGATATGGACTACTCAGACACCTTCTTGGACCAAAATCAAAACTAAGCATACATAACAAACTAACCGCTTACAAAACACTCATCAGACCTATTTGGACCTACGGAGTCGAGCTGTGGGGCTCGGCCAAATCATCCAATATCCAACGAATTCAGTCTTTTCAATCTAAAGTTCTCCGCCGTATCCTCAATGCTCCCTTCTACGTCACAAATCAAACGATCCACAAAGATCTTAAAATCCCTTTCGTGAAAGATCTTATCCATACACGCTTCTTCACTTTTCACTCTAAACTCTCCCTCCATCCTAACCCTTTAGCCCTAACTCTTTCCTCAACATCTCACCCTTACAATCCTCCACGCCGTTTAAAACGGCGATGGCCTCGTGACCTTCTATCTAACCCACCAAATTAACTTTTACTCCCCCCCCCCTATTAAATAAAAGTTGGTTTCTCTCCTCACTGCCTTCTGGTCTGACAGGTCTGTCGGACTAGTTTATAACTAACTATTTGCTCAATGTATATTATGTACAGATAGCAATAAATAAAATAAATAAGAATTATCAAGTTTATTTTACTACTGATAATAGCTTAATTATTATATTAATTTTTAAGTTTATTAATGATATGTTTGTATTTTTTCTTATTTCTTCTCTTAATTTTACATTATTCAACAAAAAGAACTTTTTTTAAGGTTTACTAAGCCTGAAACATTATGTTAATGTAAACAAAGATTTTCCTTATCATCAAACAAAATCAATTTAATCCTTTGATAGAATTTCTTTCTCATTGTTACAGTTTTTGTATATATATTTTCCTTGAGATAAATACGGTTTTCATATTTCATAATTAATGCCAAATAAATTGTTTACGGACCTTTCATCAATTTTAACGCTTTTTCTTTGAACCTGTCATTGATTAGAAAGGATTCTTATTTATTTTCTATCCAGTGGTGAATTTATTAATACTTTATCTAAAAATAGACATTGATTTTAAAAGTTTTATTAGTTTCACGTCTTATCTGCAATGAGACAGCTGAAGATTTATATTGATTTGAAAAGTCATCCTCCTATTTTTACCCTTTTTGCCAGCATTATATAATTTTATGGTAGAAAATCTTATATTTATGCAGTTGCCTGCCAGTTATCTCCTACCTGTTAACCAAGTTAGCTTAACTTCGCATAACTTAGTTTACGCCGTAGTCTGCCCGAAGATTAACCGCAATCGGAAAACATTTGGATACAATGTGTTCGAAGTGAGGCCATACTCGGCCAAGCGGTTTCGTTACACAAAACCACCTATTTTTTTTCCCCCGATTCCACATTTAAACTCACATTTTAAGATTGGTTTTCGCGCGTGTTTGCAAAATTTTAGGAATTTTACGGTGATTCGTTGGCTTAATTTTAGATTTGTGGTTTAGTATTTGTCGATTTGTGGGATTTCTCCGTTAATGTGTGGTGTGATGAACTTATAATTTTGTCGTTACTGATAATTTTGCTTCTCGTATGCTTGCTGGTTAGGTCTGTCAGATGGGTCTCTACATCTCCATACTTTTAGAACGTGGCATGAAGAATATAAGCAGAGCCAGGCAATTGGCAGATAGACCGAACCAGTGATGATAGGCGGACCAAAATGATCGTTAAAGACAGAATTACAAATTTATCGATTTGCTTACTGGCCCATGAGAAATCGGTTATATTTATGTGAAACCAAAGTTTTCTAACGTCCTAACTAAAATCATACGTGAATAATTTCATTGGCTTCACTTTTTTTTTTTTTTATATATATACCGATGTGGTTTTATTTCCAGTGGGTATACAAGAAGGCGAGCAGTTAAACTTAACCCGAATCAGCAGAAACGAGATGGGAGCATATTTGTGCATAGCGTCGAACAGCATTCCACCCTCTGTCAGCAAAAGAATAATATTAGATGTTGAATGTAAGTTCTTCTCATTTTTCTCTTTTTAATTTTATTTTCGAAAATTAACCAGTAAATATTTTTACTCAGGAATGCAGGAGCCGTTTCAATTTAATATATTACTTTTACATGTACGGCAATAAAAGATCTATGGTTAATTGTAACAGGAAATATTACCGAGTTAAGGTTTATTTATTATCATTCCAACTTGCGTTATAAATATGTGCAATTGAGCTGTAAAATGCAACGAAGTTGATCAATCTTTTTTACTTTTTATTTTATCATTTGACCCATTTTTAATAGAATAAAGCAGCATGTACTATTTACAAAAATTTTCGTCAAATAGGTTAATTTAGATTTACCAGTTCACACACGATGTTAATCTCCTGTTAAAAAAGTAAACCACCATTTTGTAAAAATATCATAATATATTACAGATTTATTTTAAGAGTGCAATTAACAAAAGTGTGGGCAGAAACTTATTATTTAATTAATTATATATTTTTCATATGTTATTTGCATGTATAAAACCAAATTTCTTTTACATTTTAGTGTTTTTTTTTTTCATTTGACATTGTTGCAATATGTTTTTTTTTCATTTACTAATTCTAGGTGAAAAGAGTACTCCACAAATGAAACATTATATTTTTAAAATCAACGATGTAGGTTCAGATAAGTTACTTCCTTCTGAATAGATGATGATATTAAATACTGTATTTTTCCTATGTAGAAAACATAAAAGAGTGTTCTTTTGAAATAAATTTTTTCTATTTTTTCAGCTGGCTTAAGCAGAAAAATTCTCGTATGAGTTCTTTTATAGAACAATGCCAGTTTTTTACAAAAGAATTTTTAGTATCAATGTCAATTTTCTTATCGTTTAAATAATCTTTTTGTTAAACGAAACAAATAAGCAAAATGTTGAACCCTTTGAAAATAGAGCCAAAAATGCTGTACATCTAAGGATAATCCACTTTCATACTGTGATGGCTTTGGCCTTAAATGCAATCCTATCTCATCAAATATAACGTTTATATCACTATTAATTAAGATATTATTATTTTTTTCTATACTACAATTTAATTATTAGTATTAAAATAATTGAAATTTTTGTTTTAGCCAGTATACAATTTAAGTGCTTTATGTTGCTTGCTTACTTAGTCAAATCAGATGCAAAATAACCTATTCATTTTGAAATTTACAAGAATAATGAAGCTAAACTTAAAAGCACTCACTATGAAAGAAGCCTTAACTTTCTCCAAGGAAAGAAAACACTGAGATAGATATCTTCACCAAAAACTTACTCGTGAAAGCCATGTAGGTAACATAGTACATAAGGACATGGCATTACTTACAATTTGCCGGAGATTATGAAAGCAAAAACTGGGGAACCAACATCGTATGTAATCTCGTATGGTGTATGGCCGTATGGTAACATAAGAGAAAATCATACTTTTTCGAAAACAGTGTTGGAAACTGCATTCGATCTACCACTCTTACATATGTCCGCTGCAGAACACGTTCCTAACAAACTCGTGGAACTATCACCGAATTTTAGAAAGTTAATAAATGATATGCGTATAACGATAAGTGACAAAATGAGAGGCACACTCAACTTTGTCGGACCCTTTCAAGTGGGCCGTTACGATCTTTGGACGAAAGGAAACCCCAAGGTTCAGGAGTCGGCTATGATATTGTACACTGATGTATCAAAGACAGAGGTGGGATTATGTGTTGTGGTAAATGGGCTTCAAACCCCTCAGACTGGTCCCAATTATTTTCCAAGCTGAGCTCCTTGCTATCCAACTCTGTGTAAATGAGGCGGTAAAAAAGGAGAATGAAGGGCTCATGAATCTACATACTTTCGTTTAGTTCGGCAACTATTTATGCTTAAGTTAGGACTAGAAAAATTGCTTTAGAATGGAAAACATAAGCTACTGTCGAAAGCACCGAGTATGGGGCACACGCTAAAACAAATGCATTTACTAAGAAATGAGGAACAGTAATGGCTTCTACAATGCCATTGCTCTTTTAGCTACCTCTTAATGAAGAAGGACCAAAGCAGAGATAAGTACACGTAGGTCAAGAAAGACCCGAAACAATTATACATGTTCTTTGGAAATGTGAGACAATAGCCCGGATACGGTATAGACAATTCGGTAAGAGAAGAGAATGCTCGAAGAGGCACCGATGTGCTTAGTTTTGTGGAAAAAAAGGCGAACTTTCTACCGTATGTTCTTAATCTTGGGGTGTCTACAAAGACCTATATAGTAGTTGAGAAATATTTGAAATTCTATAAAAAATATTGTTTACATTATTTTTCATAAATGTATATCAACATATTATAACCTGTGGCGTCTGATTATTAATTTTTTCGGGTTTTCATTTCAGTTTCACCTATGATCTGGGTGCCGAATCAACTCGTAGGCGCACCGGCTGGGACGGACGTGACACTGGAATGCAACACTGAAGCATATCCGAAAGCGATCAGCTACTGGGTCTATGAGGGCATAATGCTGCTGCCTACAAAAAAGTACATATCAAACATACAAGAAAGCTCCTACAGGACATTCATGAAACTGACAGTGCGCAACTTAACGGCGAGGGACTTCGGCAGCTACAGGTGCATCTCTAAAAACTCGCTCGGAGAGACCGAGGGGTCTATTCGACTTTATGGTTAGCTATATATATATTTTGAAAACAAAAAATAAATTAAGTTTGCTTTTTAAAATTAATTACGAGGGAAAAGTGACATGTTTTTTCTTGTATGTTCTTGCTCGTTAAAAATATTGAACCGTGTAACGTGTGCACGTTTCTCTAGTGCCTAAGGCAATGGTATTCCAAGAGGTTTAAATTTTTGCCTTTATGATTTACCGGTTTTAAAATTTAATTTGAGAAATATTCAGACCTTCTTAGGTTAAGATATTATTCCCCTTTTTGCCGAAACACAGCCAGACATGATATATAGTTCAAAATGATCGGTTATCAGCAGTTTCAGTGCATTTACTTTAGGACGTCTGAAAAAAACGTTTGATTTTTTCTTTGCTAATTTTGAAGGGGGTATTTCTGAAAAGAACGCCATAATTATGTTAATGAAGTTCTGCTTATTCCTAGTTAAAAAATGTTTTTTACGAAAAGAAGTTGGATTGGTGGATTCCAGGTAGATTCATCATTCTTTGACTACTTACACTTCTGTTACTAAACATTTTAATCTGCGAACAAATCATCTGATGTCAATCTCGAGGTTGTACATTACGAATTCAATTCGAGTTTTGCTTTTCTCCAATCTAATCCAGGAAAGAACGCGAAACAAGAAAAATCATTGTTAAAAGGAAGTTTTACGAGCAGCACAATCAGACGCCAGCATCTTCAAATTTACGAGATTCTTCGGTTAGAATTTTTTCCCGATTATGGTCATTAATTTTACAATTCCTAGCTCCATTACCATCAACTTTTTAGACGCATTTCAACTACCAATTATAAGTCTAGTACCCAGAACACCTGATTTTTCATATTATGACACATCCTGAAGAAATTCCTCTATTTCGAGAGGTTCATAATTTTCAATAAAATCATGTGAAGTGTTTTATTGAGGCCATTCAAAATCCACCAGGAGAAAGGTGAAGATTGAATGGCGGGTGAATTTTAACGAGATGTATATAAATAATATTTTGATAACCGTTATCCGAAACTTGTTTCTTTTTATGCTTTGGTCCCATTTATTCCATTAGACTTATAAATTTGAACTTTTTGTAGGTATATATATTTGGCGTACAACTTAAAACTCTCACTTGTTTCATATATTTGACTGAGTTTATTATTGGTAAACGATTATATGGCTAAAAAAATAGTTTTTGAAAAAGTCTTAAAAAATGTTCGTTTTTTTTAATTTGTACGATTCTCCATTATTAGTAATCTGTATTAAACACATTCTATTTTGAATTTGATTATATCATGAACTGAACTCAAGATATTGCTGCCGGAAAATGTTTATTTTTCTATAGTAAAACGACTGACGTCGTGCTTCTCTTTAGTGTTTAATAGTATTGTTATTTTTGTTCATTTCTTAGTTTTGAAATTACAATGTTAAATAATCCTTTAAAATGATTATATGTTCGTATTTTTTCGATGTTGTTTCTATTTTATTCTTGTTTTTGTTTAAAAAATCTAATTTAGTTTTCTGTTTTATTTTTGTTCGTAATTGAACGACTTCTGTTTTCAGAGATTCCTTTGCCTTCTCAGCAGCCGAGGACAACAGAAATGGGTAGCAGAGCAGGGAAAGACGGTAAGCAGGAGATTTGCAATGCAAATAAACAAACTACCTACCGCCACGAGTGTATAAAGCCAGTCCCGTCGTTTATACGATGGCTTGCCCCCTTTCGCCATCCACGGTCTCTACCCAAAAGAGGAAATTGGCCGTGTCAGTCCCCAAACCTTACCGAGCCTCCCTCTCGCCACTCAATACAAACAGTCGGGCTTACTTATTCCGCTTTTAAAGAAAACTCAAATTTTCTCTCACCCCACAACCAACAAAAGACGCTCACTTGGAAAAGGTCGTACAACGAACATTCTGGCATGCGGGCACTTCAAAATGAAAACACTCGTGTATTACACAAATAGTTAGATATTTGTTCAAAAAGCTGGTTCTTTTCCAGTGTTGAAGATGAGGCCGGTCATCCGTGGGAGCACGGTTGCCCCGGACAAAACCGCTCCTTCCTCTACCGCATCGATCAGTACCTACGCCGTTACATTCTCATCAGGTATTGTTACAAATAAATCGGAAGACTGGAGAAATTCAAAGCATCATTGTACATGCAATAATTTCAAAGTAGTGTAACTCAATTTGATTGGCTTTGAGCTGAAAGCAATGCTGTTAATTAATGATCACTTTACATATGCACCTGAAAAAAACCTACATTTTTATTCTAATTTAAATAATTATTTTCAAATGAATGTAGACAAATGTATTTTTTTTAAAAACACCAGACTTGCCCAATTTTTTCAGTTTTTGGAAATACAATTCGCTTTTTTTCAGCAGGGTGATAAAATCATTGCCGATCCCTCACATATTTCACATCCCGTGTGTTTTTCTTTATTACGAGTATGTTGAATGGCGCTCACTGTGTACAGTCCATCCCTTCTAGATTGTTCATATTAGATTCTTTGCTTTATTTAATATTTCATCTTTTCACACGTTATAATCATATGGTCCTAGATTACGTTAGATTACGTAGATACCTATAGATTCACATCAATCCCATTTTTCTTATTATAAACATTAACCTAATAATAGCTTAGAATTCTTGCAATGCCATCGAGGACCCACCCCTAAAACTAATATAAAAATTCTTTACAAACTAAACCTACAGTTGGGAGGTAGGTAGGGTGTTTATAACCTTGCCTTCCACCATTCACTCCAAAAAATAAATCCATACAGGGTAAAACTTTTCAAACCATGTATGCGATTAAACGTTAGCGAGCCACCGTGGTTTTAGTATTACTATGTGATTCACAAGCCTGTTTCAGTACGCGTAACCATAATGATAATTAACTTAATTGTATCGGCTTGTATTCTATATTCCTTCCTTCACACCCTTGTCCTTACATATATACTTAATAATTCATGCCTGTAAATACATTCACACATGTGTGTAGTCATCGTGATTTTGTTTTTACGACAAAATCACCACGTCCTATCATATTACAAAATTATTACAACTTGGTCACTTGACCATTAAAACGTAAATGGATTAATAGTAAGATTAGATAAATAAAAGAAGTATCACTTCAGTAAACAGCTCCCCATGGCCATTTCATAAGTCCATGAGAATCCAATCCTGATTACACGACATTTTAAAATGGCAAAAAGAGGAAAAATTCGAACTGTTACGGGTTGGGATGGAGAGTTGGTGTCCGAGAGGATCGAAATCACGATAGCTCAAGTGGTTGCGTAGAGGCGTATTTAGCCAAAGGTCGTGGGTTCGAATCCCGTTCGTGACACTGATTTTTTTATCTCAACCAAGACCTTACATAAAAAGAATAATTAATTGAAAGAAGCAACTTGGTCAATTGACCACTAAAACGTAAATGGATTAATATCTACAAAATTATGTTAAATTAGGTTACTTAATTGTGCAAATTAATTATATTTGATAATCGTGTAAATCATTCGATATAGTGGCAAAATCCCGATGAAGCGGATATATTTCTCAAAAAATTGGTAAAGGAATATCGAATTTTTCTTTCTGTTAAATACATCTTCAGAAAATTTAACGAAAAAATAAAAACAAAATCAATTAAACAGTGATATGAACCTAGTAGGATCCGATGTTTTGGAAAAAAAAAACCAATTGTAAGTTGTAGGGTTCGAACTCAGGGCCGCTGGATCACAAGGCGCGTCCATCCGTTTCGGCCACCGACGCCCCCTCAAAAAGTATCACAGTTTGTTGCGGAGAATAGGATTTTAAAAGTTTTGCTTTGATGTCAATGTAACGATAATTACAAAATTGAAGCTTTTAGCAAATAAATCCACAAGTGAAATAATGTGAGTATTACGAGATCGTAAGTATTGCGTGATTAGATTAAAATTAATCTAACAAGCAGATCAAACAACGATAAAAGCTCAGAACGATCGTTATATTTAAATGCATTTCGCATTAGAAAACAGATTATAACATAAGTGGTTTATTGATTTATAAATCAAACATTATTAATCTATCTATAATTTTGAGTTTTTTTTATTAATTGTTTTATACTGATTTTTAATTTATGCCAGTGTTTATTTTTAAAACGTTATTGAATAAAAGTTCTAAAGATTATGCAATAAAAATTGCGTTTCAATATAAAATTATTTTATTATTTATAAACGTTCCGCTCTTTGATATCGCATACTTGCTTTACCGGTTCTTATGCTATGACATTAATGAAAATCAATAGTCATTTTCTGGTCAGTCAACGGGATAGGTCAAAGAGAGAGGCTTTGGCCTTTGTAGATTCGGCAGGGACATCCAACGTGACATTTATGAAATGCACGACAGGGATCATACTTCAAAATATTTATAATGAAAACAGCTTAAAACCTGCTTTTAACAATTATTTTAGATACACGTCAATTTTTTGGCATGTTTTTCTAAATTTTTTAAAAATATTTTAATTCTTTTAATGATTTTTCCTTTTTCAAATATACTTCCGCTACAGTTTTTAAATCTATTTTTTTAATTACACATACTTCCGTATTGTATAATTTTAAGTGAATGAATATTTTGACGTGATTCCCGTTTAGTTCGAAGTTAATTAACCCAAGTGTTGCTGTTTCTATGTTGACCTGAAAAGTTACATAAGTTACTTAATATCTTGCGAACCTTTACTGTTAATTACTGAGGAAGTTCTAGTTTGATATTAAGCTAGTAGCTAAATTGTATGTAGCCGTTGAATCCAAAACTATAAATATAGAGCAGACTTCTAGGCATTATTTTTATCTTGCTCTTTACATCTGGTCGGAATATGATTTAAAAGGTTTGCTGATAAAAATACTACATTTATACATTACATCATAATAAAAGCCTTTACTAGTATTATATTGAAAATATTGGAACCAAATGTAGATTTATATTTTTTACTCTTCTTTTTTGGTCGTTGACTTTTTGTACTTCTCGGGTTTCTTTTTCAGAACTGGACTACCATTAAATTCGTTTTCTTTTTATTGATATCTATTTCGGAGGAATCAGCCTCCCATCATTAGCCTCGTTTTCTTTTTGGAAAAGGAAACAACAAACATAATAAAAACGAGACTGATGAGGAGAGGCTGATGCCCCGGAAATTGACATCAATAAGAAGAAAATGAGTTTGATGATTGTCTAGTTCCTGAAAAGGAACCCGTGAAATATAAAATGTAGATTTGTTGTTAAAATTAAGATAAATGATTGAAAGTTTTCCCATTGGATCTCTGGCCGATTTCTACATAAATAATTTAGATTAAAGAAGATTTTTTAAATTTGATAATTAAAAAAATAATGAGCTTTGCTACGTTCGCTTAATGAGACTGTCAAACATTTCTACTCTTAGAAGCTTTTTAAAATATCGTTGTAAGAGGGGTTTTTTCAGTTTTTAAATTTGAACAAGTAATTTATGAGTAATTGATTTTCAGTTTTTTTAATTTTTATACGAGCTTTATTACTTTGTAAGTGTAAAGAAGAATGTTTGTTTGATTTCTTAAAATTTCTTCCTCCCCTGACTACTTACACACAACAAGCGCATACACGCAGTTAATACCTTTAAGCTTTGTAACGCAATATTTGTTCAAAATTTCTGTTGTATTAACATTTTCATGCTTTATGTGCGAGGCAAAATGGCCCTTTTTTGGGCTGAAACCTTTTAAAACATATTGCGCTGAGCAAAAAAATGCTCTATGCAGAGTGAGTAAATAGATAAGATCCTAATCATGAACAAATGAATATAAAAAACTGAACTTTTACTTTAAAATGGTTGAAAAAAAATTTACAGCACTTTTATAAAATATTTGTTTAGAAGACATATTAAATAATGTCATTAAAAAAACTAACAAGGGGAAGCGACGGACGTGGGTTTTTATGAAACTAGATTAAAAAAACAGTAAACGAGTCCAGCTGTCTGTAAAATGGGCTCTACATGACGAGAAAAAATATTTAAAAAAATTTGCATATTTTTTTTTACCTAGCTAAAGAAATAATATGCGAATCGTATTAAATTTGATTAGACAAAGAAAAAAAAATTCTAAAACACACAAAAACTTGTTTACAAAAATTAGGATTCGTTTTAAGCAACCTTTAAAAATCATAAATAAAGTTTTTCTTGCTAAAAATTAGACACTTTTGCGCTGAAATAGTTCAAATCAATTGTGTTCATAGATGAAAAAACTTTGGGTTTTGTCCACATTGGATTTATACAACATTGGAAACAGAAATATTTCTTTTTTATGTAATGGCAAAAACATTTAATGCAGGCATTGGTAAAACAAAAATGCTTTAAAAAATAATGTCCTATATTTAATTGTGCTTGAAAGGCGACAAAGTTTAAGTGTATCTTGTTCAGAAATCGCAACATATACCAAGAAATCGAAAACCATTTACATTTTTTCTTTCAACCTTTAGCTAAAATTTGTTGTCATACAACAGTGTCTAACATCCAACTGCACGTTGGTTGTCGCACGTGGAGTGGGCAAACCAGTCAACTCTTTTTTGTAATTAATCTCAGATCAAATTCCGTGGGCTATGCCAAAATTCGAACTCAATAAAAAAATAAAAACAATCCTAGCAAGGCAAATTAACGCTTAAATACTTCACCATCGAGAACTCTGGTCAGTGTTTAGACTTTACTTTATAAGTGAAATAAAAAAGAATGAAGACAAAAAACGTTCTCAAACGTTTTATTGTATATCCTTGGTTTTAACATATTTTTGGAACCCATATATAAGTTTGTGCTATTACATGAATTTCACAGGTATTTAAACACCCGTACAATTGGCTGTAGATGGGTGCAGTAGTTTCAACGTTACCACCATTTTAACGATTTTCGACAAAAAATCGGAAACACTGGAAAGGCAAAGTTCGAAACATGTATTTTTACTTTCTCCAAAAATTTCTATTTTATAATACAAAATACAAATATAATTTATCTTGCTGCCAGGGATGCTGATCTGCGAGTCGGTCAAAACATTTTAAACCTGCACTTGTCACTTATTAGTATATGTTGAATTAGTTCAACAAACTACTCTAACCAATTGCACCACTGAAGATGGTGTAATACAGAACGCGTTGAGTAGTTCAACAAAACCGCCAATAAAAACGGACCCAATGTACAATGACCCAGTACCGGTTCAGCATTATTGCTTCTAGTTAAAAAATTAAATTGTTTTGCTGCGTCGCTTTGTAAATACGTCAAAACTATGTTTTGCAGATACGGGTATTAGGTAGTTGGAAGGAGAAAAAATTAGAGAAAAAAATAATTTTCGGATTTTGCTCATGAATTTGTATTCAGGGTATTTGGGGGGAACAAAAACGAATATTAATGTTTCTGACTAAAAACACGTATTTTTAGTCACTAGGCTGAGTAGCTTGATCACTAAGTCAAACTATGTTTTATGAGGTAAGAGGAAAAATTTGAGATTTTTGTTTTGTTTTTATTATAAATTTGTATTCGGAAGTTTATGCAGTGAAATAAACGATTACCAAATTTGTTTCTTGCTAAAAATATTTGTATCTACTTTGGCAGTTAGTAAGAGTATCGTAGATATGTGTTGAGATTAGTGACCGTTAATCGATAGTTATTCAGATATTGTGAGATGCGGTCGGGTGTGATGTAGGTTTCAGAAAAACATTTTCTTTATCGTGCCAACGTTTCGATCTTTTATTGACATCATCTTCAGGGCCTGGGATTTACAAACAATGTTTACATTTAACAATTACATTTAGGATNAAATCCCAGGCCCTGAAGATGATCTCAATAAAAGATCGAAACGTTGGCACGATAAAGAAAATGTTTTTCTGAAACCTACATCACACCCGACCGCATCTCACCATATCTGAATAACTATCGTAGATATTGAAAATATATAATTTGTGACCAAGAGATCTAGCAAAGTAGCTTCAAATATCTTTTTCTAATATTATATATATATATATAAGTTTCTATATTGTATCCTATGGAAACAGTCGATATACTACGATATACTAATTTTACGAACACGCATAACAAATATCAATAAAAATTATTTACATTTGTTATTTCTCGACTCCTAGGACTTATTAGCAAGAACGCTTGGAAAGGTTTTTAATATTTGTAGACGTATTATCAACAAAAACTTTAATTAAAAATCTATGACTCCATGTTCGTAGCCAACCCTTGCAAAATCAATACTGAAAGTAACAATTCTTCTGATGTTTTAACAAAAATAAAGTGATAATAATTTAAATTCCGTGGGTGAATAGGTTTAGACGAAGCATTTTACTCAAACAATATCATATGACATGTTGAAGGCTCGGAAGTATTCTGTCTTATATGTATGCAAGAATTGTTCGACAGGGCTCGGTGAGAATTCACAAGGAGCATTCTTCACAATCATCTTTCCACGAAAGCTAGAATTGTTCACAGTTCACCCACTTTCATAAAAGACCACTCGTGTCAAATGTTACCACAAAGGGGAATATACAATTTTTGACATCGACGACACGTCGTCGTTTTGTAAATTAGCTCACCCTTAACGCCCGCTTGGCACTGCGTTGCACAGTTATGCCGAGAAATTAAAAGTTTTCACTTCAAAATAAAGCGTTTTTATTCGTTTTATGCGTTTGAATGCATGATTAATATTTATTTACACCAGATCCTAAAGAAATCACTTATATTGTTTCAGGAAGAAAAGTCGAGGCTGGCTGGATTAAACCTTATTTACTTCTTGCTACGTTCATTATTATTCATAGTGGACCACCTTGTATTTAGAATAATCTCTTACTGTTTCAGTTCGTTATTTATTTTCGTTATACAAATCAAATTCAAATGAAAATTCTAAAAATAAATATAATCATTTAAACATAATCAAATCATAGATTATTGTTGTAAATGTTGTATTAAGCCTGTATATATGTATATGTGTTCATTATGTATATATAGTAAAATTGAAAAATGTATTATATTAGGATGTTATTTAAATTATAATATTTAACTGTAAATTTTAGATTTTGTACATAGATAACAGTTATTAGCATTACAACATGCTTCTGCTTAAATTGTGTTGAAAACGTTTGTAAATCTTTGTGCCAAAATTTTGTATTATAAAAATGAATTGTAAATTATAATATGTATGTTAATAATTGGAAAATCATTGCTTTGTAGTACTTTGTGCTTAATTTTTAAATTTCATAAGGCATTATTGACGTACGAAAACGAAACCGAAACGTTTTAACTTTTGCTTTTTCCATAAAACATCAAGCTGTCTTCCCAATTTAAATGCATGTCTTATTATATTTATGGTAATAATATTGTTTTATGTAAACTTCCAGCTATAAACGAATTTGTAATATTAGATTATATTAAACAAACAGCTTTATATTTAAATCACATTTTTGTTTATATATTACTAAATTATTAACAATTAAAACAAAATTCTTTTTTAAGAAACTCTAGATGGAATTGCTTAATACATTTTTAACAAATTGTACTTTAAACAAAAACCCATTACCCCCTAATATTTGTATATTTGTTATATATTTTTGACATGACGTATCTATAAGATAATTGCTACACTCACTAGGTTCTTATTTTTAACCAATCTCTTTAACGAATGCATGTTATTTTTTTAATATTTAAGTAGATCGATATAGCAAGTGTAAGTGATAATATGAAATATACTTTGAGTAATTATTTTAGTGTTTTAATTCCCGTTAAATTGTTGGTTAATTATTAAGATATATTAACATATCCTATACGATATACGTAAGACTGAATGTAGTGCAATGTTGGACAGTACATTTCACAGGACAATACACGGACAGAAGAATTGTTTAAAAAAGTATAAAATTAATGTATCTGAAAACAAACTGTGATAATCAAGGTTTGCGTTATGACTTAAGTAACGAATGAACTCCACAGCTGGATTTTATTGGCATCTTTGAGTAAATTTTGAACTCCAAAAAATATGAATAATAATTTTCAAATTTGTCTGTACCCTTAACATTTTGTATGTATTTTATTATTTTGATAAAGCCTGTTGATGGAATTGTCACCTAAGCCCCGAAATGCATAGCCCAAAATAAACAAATAATATTTGAGGAAGTTCAAGTAAACACTTAACTATTTTCAAATCAAACAGAAAAAATAAACGATGAGTGGAGATCTTCCTTAATTTATTGATTTACTTTTTATTTTATGGCCTAACTTTTGTCAAAATGAAAAAAAAAAACACCACTTTAAGAATCAAGCACAGTTTATGCATATAATGAAAGTATTTTTTAATCTCTATTCAGATATGAACAAAGGTTTTTAATAACCGATTTTGCTGTAAATACTAAAAAACATTATAAAACATTTTGTAATTATGAGATAGAAATTCCAAGTAATAGAAGTTGCTTAACAATTTTTTAGCTTATCAGGCTTTTGACAGTAATGTCGACAATTGGGAAATCAAAAATCAAAAGCCGTTAGTTATCACAATACACAATGTGGTTGTTATTTAATAAAGTCATATTTCAAATTAAAAAACAACGTTATCTAGTTGCAATGTTTTATTGTAACGTTGACTGTATTGTTTAACTTATTTTGAAATGCTTACAATTATATTGGAAATATTTGATAATAAAATTAATTATAAATCCATATAGACTGAGAGCCACAGGTTAATGTTTATGTTTTAAGGAAGATTTTATTCCATTGTTATTGTAAATCCTTGTAATTCAGTTAGCTAAATGTTGACCAATTCTGGGCAGTTCAATAATTTTGGCATTTCGTGGTTTGCACATTATTTGTTGTATTCAGTCATCGATTTTTCTTCTTAAAGAACTGACAAACCTTTAAGAAGTAAAAATAAACCGTTGGATTTGTATCAGAACAAATCACTTTCCTAAACAATTTACTCAAACGCTCAGCAGAAGGTTCGTTTAATTCACATGTTTATCGCTGAGGTAATTTTGTACGTCTGAGAAACTCTCTGGCAATATCATATCTAAAATATGGACCGTAACATTGACATAGTGCTCTTGCTCGTGGGGTTATAACAGCCCGGAGGGTAGACCGCAAGGGCAGTTACCTAAGGAGAGTAACTGCATATTGCCTAAGGGTTGTGGAAAACAAGAATCTCTCGCGAGCATGTTCCCAAACAATGAGCATAACTAGAAATACTACCATTCTTGAAATTTACCGGCAAAGTGTTTTTACGGTTTCATTCTTGATTTAATTATATAAAGTAGATTATTTTTAAAGCTGACAAAATAAAATATTTAATTTTTGTCGTAACGTTTGTTAAATTTAGAATCTAGAAACGTTTTTATGTGCAATTTATTCACTCTTGCACGTTTTCGAAATTGCCACATTTGAAATATTAAAGACCTATATAATTTCATTAGCAAAGCGTATTTGTATTAAATTTTGTAATTAATAATTACAAAATTTTAATTTTGATTATAAATATATATTTTATATTCAAAACTGCAAAACAACTACTATGCACACTATTTCCAAGGAAATATAGATTTTAAATATAGATTTTACCTTTTACATGATAAAAAATGTGATACAATAAACATTTAAAATTTGTGCACAATATAAAACAGAAAACAATAAAAATAAAGCTCGACCTTTTGGTATAAACTAATTTATTTCTGTGCAAAACTAGCTAGGGCAAGCTAGATTTGTTTGGTCTTGCGGTCGAAATACTCCAAAAAATATATTACATGAATTAGGTCCGGGGTTTAATTGGGAAAGAAGTTAAATATTTTCCTATTAGAAAAGTTTAGTATTTCTTACTTTTAATTGACAACGTTCAGACATATCGATAGCTCTAAAAAAATAACCCTTGTACTTGAAAATAGCATAGGATGCCGAACCGTCTTACATTCCAAAAATGTTTGCAACCGCCTTGGAAAAAAAGGTCTGAAAAATAGAAAAATTGTGCCATCCATAAGAAGAAAACCTAAGGACATCAAAAATTGAGACAAGAAAAACATAATCTCCATATTTTTGGTTTAAAATTTTTAACATTTCATATCCTTTTTCGTATTTTTTGTCTGTTTAAAATAATTGAAATGACAATTACCACTACATTAATACTGCTACAATAAATAATGTATTCAGAAATAATAGAAATTGTTTAGTTAAATATAACAATTACTTATGGTTTTAATTTTTCAGGTTAAGTAACATATTTCTTTTAACTATGTATATATATATATATAATTACATAGTATATAATTACTATATATATATACTATAGTAATTANTACATATATATATATGTATATATATATATGTATATATATAGTTAAATATAACAACAATTACTTATGATTTTTCAGTTTTATTTTATTTTATATATATATGTGTGTGTGTGTCTGTGTATACATTTTTTTAGGAATCTCCCTGCACAATGTCATCCGCTATTTACAACTAATATGAACAACCTCTTGGAACCGCTAAACTGAATAAAACTAAACTCATTCACCCATAATAAAAACAATGGATCTGTGGGGACCAACTTCCAAAGATTCAAAAATGCCGAAGATTCGTATCTAACTTTATAATAGTCTCGTGGATCAGAGTTGTACTCTGATCCACGAGAATAGGGTAAAAGCTGGTCGATCGCATAGAAGATACAATTGTCTCCCTCTTTACCGTACTAAAAATATATTCAGGAGCCGGAAGAATTGATTTATTCATATTCCATCTTTTTCAAAGAAAATGAATACAAGTTTGATATAAATATTACATTATTTAATTTATATTAATTTTTATATGTGTACTTAAAACTTTTTATTTTTACTTTTATATTTATTTACGGTTTTCTGGGAATGTAAAATATCTTCTTTTCAACTTCATATATTTTACACCTAATTATAACCACGGGCTCATGTTTGTTTTGAACGACTAACTTGTTTGGCAAACGTTGAATTATATATTATTTTTTGCGATGAAATTAAGATAACATAGTTTTTGTTTTACGATCAAACTAATATATTTAGTTTTAATATATAACTAATTGTTTTCTAAGCAAAGAAGATTAATTTGAGTAAATATGTTTTTAGGTTGATTGAGTTGTTTGGTTTGCTTTACCGAGCAATTGTCTTGTTACAAATTAATACCTTTTTAATATTTTTCATTGAAAAGGAAGGAATTGATAGGTCAGTAGTTGACCTAGAAGTTGTGAGTTGTTCGTCAAATTCCATATATTGGGTTGTCCGGAAAATAATGCAGGATTTTGGTATTAAACAAAAAAAAAGAAACTAGTTACTTTAAAGCAATGTTCTTTAATCAAAATNCATACAAATGAGTAATCCTGTAAACGTAAACAGAATATTTTATATAGATTTTTTTTAATGAAAACTTAAAATCCTGCATTATTTTCCGGACAACCCAATACTTATCTGATGTAAAGGCATTAAACAAGAAAATTCAGGTGAAGGCTACAAAAATATAAACGGTTTTGTGCGTTGTAAAAGACGCAATATGATTCAAATGGCTTGTCCGAAAATGAAGTTATTATTTTTATTATTAGTTATTATTTTAGTGAGTGCAGTAGTGTGTTGCTTGTACATTCTATCCCTTAGTGTGGCTAGTTCTTGGCTAAGTTGTCTTGTTAGTTGGTACATATCAAATAACTGAGATTGCTAGACATTCCTGGCCTTTCGATATTCAGTTAGGAGTGATTACAGGTTAAACATGGTTTTTGTGGCACATTCCATGTTATTTACATTACATGATATTTATTTTAAAAAATACATCTATACGCAAGGAAAAAAGAAAGATATCTAGTGCATTATACCTTGGCTGCCTTTGACACCAGACAAACACAATGTTTCAAGCACAATTAAACTTAAATTTGCGATGATATCAGCTTAAAAAAAAAAAATTCAAAATTCTG